GTCCAAAAACGAAAATACAAAACTAAAGAGCTAGGGTTTGAATCAAGTAGTAGAGGCACTTGCCTAGCAGCATTAAGCCCTGGGTTCAATCCCCCACACTAAGAAAAAAGAGAAAAATTATACTCTTATCTTCTTTCTAAAAAATTCTACATATGGGGAAATGTCTGGCTAGTAGGATTTTGCTCAAGTTTTGATTCGAGTATAATTGAAACGAAAATGTTTTTTTCTTATAAAGGTCTATGCTAGACACTATAAGGCCATTACTTGTATAACCCAAGTTTCTGGCCCAGTCTTTTTCACCTAGAATTTTTAAATCCTAATATGTGGCTATGTCATGGTAGCCAATGACTCACATCTGTAATCCTAGCGTACTTAGGAGGCAGAAGAGATCAGGAAGATCACGCGTTTCAAAGCCAAACTCAGCAAAAGAGTTTCATGAACTTATCTCAAGATACCCCAAACACATACACACACCACCCACATCCACACACACACACACCACACACACACAGACAAAGGCTGGGTGGGGCGGCTCAGGCATTGAGGCCCTGAAGTTCAGGCCCAAGTACTGTCAAAAAAATTTTTTAAATGTGTGGTTAAAGATGCCCCCCGCACGACGAATGATAAGAAAATGTGGTATCTAACACAATGGGAATTTTATGCAGCCATGAAGAAGAACGAAATGTTATCATTCACTGGTAAATGGATGGAATTGGAGAAATCATTCTGAGTGAGGTTAGCATGGCCCCAAAAGACCAAAAATCGTATGTTCTCCCTCATATGTTGGACATTAGATCAAGGGCAAACACAAACAATGGGAATTGGACTTGAGCACATGATAAAAGCGAGAGCACACAAGGGAGGGGTGAGGATAGGTAAGACACCTAAAAATTAGCTAGCATTTGTTGCCCTTAACGCAGAGAAACTAAAGCAGATACCTTAAAAGCAACTGAGGCCAATAGGAAAAGGGACCAGGAACTAGAGAAAAGGTAGATCAAAAAGAATTAACCTAGAAGTAACCCCACCACAGGAAACTGTGAGTCAATGCCCTGTATAGCTATCCTTATCTCAACCAGCAAAAACCTTGTTCTTCCTATTATTGCTTATACTCTCTCTACAACAAAATTAAAATAAGGCAAAATAGTTTCTGCTGGTATTGAGGGGTGGGGGGGGAAGAGGGAGGGGCGGAGTGGGTGGTAAGGAGGGTGGTGGGCAGGGGGAGAAATGAACCCCAAGCCTTGTATGCACATATGAATAATAAAAGAAAAAAAAAAAAAAGTGTGGCTAGCAGGCACATTCCATTAACTTTCAGAATAACTTCTGCCAACACTAATCAAAACTGAAAAGTGGAGTTTCTCCTTCTTCACCGCCACTGGGAAGTGAAAGAAAATACCCTTTTTCCCATTATAAGATGTCATTAAATAAGTAGACCAATCAATTTCATAACAGCTTTTCAAGAGACAAAAACCCTCTGCAATATAAATGAATAATGTAGTTTTCCCAAAACATCTGAAGCAAAAAGTATTTCTTGCCACTGGGGAAAACAGGAAAGCAATTCTAATTTCTTTGAGACTCTACCCAGATTGATCCCATTAACCCAAAGGAGAAAACTAGTAACATAATGAAACTATAGGATGGCTAAAACTTTGATAACCTTTTTTTCCTCTTCCTATAATGTGGGCTGGCCATGTGACCACCCTAGGACAAAAGAATGTGACAGAAGTGATACTATGTAACTTAAGGAAGGGCCATAAGAAACCAGCAGCATACCTTTTGTACCTCTCTTGGAACTTTCCCTCTATAACCATCTGGAATGCAAGAACTCCAAAAATGCACATCATGCTTTGAGGAAAATCTAGCCAATCCACATGGAGTGAAGGTGGCCATTTAGGGAAACACTGAGGGTATGGAATATAAAAAAAGCCTCCTTGATATTCTATCTAAATCGGCACAAGCCAAGCCAAAGTAGTAATGCCACATGGAGCAGAAGTAAGTAACTGAGCTCTTGCTCCAACCCTTCCAGAAAAATTGTGTAGTAAATAAACTAATTGTTCTTTTAAAGTCACTAAATTTTAGGGTAGGCTTTGTACATAGTAATAGGTAAGAAAACATAGCAAGACACAGTTAAGCACATGCAAATCCAGTCAGGAAAGGTGTGATGATGGGTTATTGTAACAGGGGTGGGGGAAGAGATCCTATTTAAGTACTACACCCACTGTTAAGGAAAGACATCTGAGAGATACCATGATTTAGGAAAAGGAACAAATTTTTTTTAGTAAAAGAGTTCTATGAATTCTACGTAAGAGAAAATAAATGTGAAGTTTAGCATGTTCCATTTGGGAAAATATTTAATATACCTCAGATGAGCTATGAGAAGAGCACAAGGTTTCTACACGAAAAATCTAGCTAATTACAAAAAAGTATAAATCAGTAAAGTTAAACTATTTTATAAGCAACTCAGTAATATTACATTTCTGAGAACAAGAAAAAAATAGCAGTTATATTTGACATTGTGCATGCTAAAAGTGTTCTGTGTCTAAACTTACTACAAAAACAAAGCTAATTTCCTAGAAAGGTCAGAAAAGAAGCTTTAAGAGCTGGGAGCGGTGGTTCGTGGCTGTAATTCCAGCTATCTGGGATATGTAGATAGGAGAATCACCATCTGACGCCAGCCTGGGCAAAAATGTGAGACCCTATCTGCAAAATAACTTAAATAAAAAATGCTAAAGCTGTGGCTCAAAAGGTAGAGCACTTGCTTATCAAGTGTGAAGCCGTGTTCAAACCCCTAGTACCAGAAAAACAAAAACCTTAAAAAAAAAAAAAGTAAACAAAAAGCATAACCTTGTTTATAAAAAGTAAACATATTGGGATTAAAAACATCCTTTTCTTCCAAATATAACCTTGCTGCTAGGAACATACAGAATTGGTTTACATAGGTAATTCTTCTAAGAAATCTCAAGAGTCTGTTGAAGGCACATTCACCTCTTAAATAATCTTGTCTTCTTTCCTTGACATTCCTAGTAGTTAAAAGGTCAAATCTGAGTTCTCTGATGTTAACATCATAATTTTGTTTAAAAAAATAGTTCTTAGATGTTTCTAATTAAAAACCACAGGACTGGAAGCATGGCTTATGTGATAGAGCACCTGCCTACCAAGCATTGGGCCCTGAGTTCAAACTCCCAGTACCACAAACAACAACAGTACAAACTAAGGTGTATAATTAATGGTATATGTCCAAGATTCATCAGCATGTAGGAAATAAGTTAATATTAAAATAAAATTCAAAATTATCAGCATTAGACTTTTCTGGGAGAAAATAATTTACCATCAAGAATTAAAACATTTAAAGGGACTTCTTTGTCTCTACATTCAACAGTCAACTCATTTTCTCTCAACACTTTCTTCATTTTAAGGATTTTTTTAAAAAATGGGACTTGGATTTGAACTCAGAGCTTCACACTTGCAAAGCAGGTACTAAATCACTTAAGCCAAACTTCCAGTGCTCAATGATATTAGAAAGGAAAAATATATTATGGTTGCAAACTTACATATAAACACATTCACATGTCCATTTTCTCTACTTCTTGGTACAAAAGCTGCTATAAAATTAAACCTGAGAGCATTACCCTTCTGGGTAGCTACTGTTACAGATTATAAAAGAGAATTGTTAGTATGAATTGCTGACTGAATTTATAAAATGTATCATTCAGACTATGCCATTTTTATTATTTCTTTTATTTTAAGGCATGTCAATTCCTGGGCTACAAATGGAAGCACTATCTTACATGGAGGAAAAAAAGAGCTGGGCACATGGTGGCTCACCTCTGTAATCCTAAATACTTGGGAAGGCTGAGATCTGGAGGATAAAGTTTGAGGCCAGCCTGGGCAAAAAGTTAGTGAGACCCCATCTCAATCAATAGCTGGGAGCAGTGGTGCATGTTTATACCCCAAGCTATGCAAGAGGCTGAGATGGAGAGGATCACAGTTCTAGACCAGCCTGGGCAAAAAAAGTTTGTAAAACCCCATCTCAAGCAATAGCTAGCTGGGTGTGGTGGTGTGTGCCTGTCATCCCAGCCACAGTGGAAAGCATAAAATAGGAGCACTGAAGCCCTAGGCAAACTCCAGTACTGCCAAAACAAAACAAAACAAAATCCTATTTCCTCACCTTCCCAAACCCTTAGTCAACTGATGTTCAGATGTTACTTATAGGATCTTTTTCTAAGAGGTCTCTCTTGCCACACACTTGAGAAGCATAGAAGACATTTAACACAAGAACTTTGGGGAAAAAAAACTTAAAAACTAAAGGGACCCAAGGAAAATGAAATCTGAAGTAAAAATCAGAATGGAAAGGTACATTGCAGGTAACTTTAGGTTTGTAACACACTTTCAGTTTATCAGGAAGACAGTATTTCTGGTAAACTCTTCAAGTAAGATTTCTGGGTTATAACTTTCTTAATAATTAAATTATTTTAATTCCTAGCACTACTGATGTTTCAGAAAAGAAATACATCTTCAAAAAATTGGCAACTACCATATCGAAAGGCAAAACAAAGGATTCTATGGCTTTTATATCAATTTTTCATCCTCATTTGTTAAAAACAAGGGACTATGGCCGGGTGCCAGTGGCTCACACCTATAATCCTAGCTACTCAGGAGACAGAGATCAGGAGGATTGCAGTTTGAAGCCAGCCCAGGCAAAATAGTTCACGAAACCCCATCTCGAAAAAACCCTTCACGAAAAAAGGGCTTTTGGAGTGGCTTAAGGCGTAGGCCCTAAATTCAAAGCCCAGTACTGCAAAAAAAAAAAAAAAAAAAAAAAAAGGACTATGAAAGTACTCCATCCACCTTTATGAAAACTGAATAATGAAACCCATTAAAATTGTTTTAAAAGAGTGGGGGCTAATAAAGAGTAATAGAGGCAGTGAATATGACCAAAGTATATCATATGCATATATGAGAATAGCACAATGAAACCCCTTTGTACAATTAATGTACTCTAATTTAAAAAGAGAGGAAAATAGGGCCTATCACACATAAAATGCATTTAAGGTCACTTCTGTATTATTAAATTGATAGAAATAAAATTGTCAAACAAGCATAAAACTTCAGACATGCCTTGTTATTAAATAAAAATGCTAACATGCTGTTATTTGCTCTGCTGTTTATCATACTAAATCAGTTACATCAGCAGACTACCTGTAAAAATTTCTTCTTCATTTCATCAAAGATATTTTGTCTGCATCTCCAAAACACATCCTATGACATATAAGAATAAAATAAATTACAAATTATTTCTATAAAATAGAGAAAAGACAAAGTGAGAGCAATTAACCTAAAGACATTTATGTGATAAAATATGTATTAACTAAAGTATCAGCATATCATCTAGGATAGTATTCTTAAGTTATATTTATAATTTTTACCTTAGATCTCATTCTTGTATGATTACAAAAACCTATGGTAGAGTGATTAAAAAAATAGTATGGAAAACAGATAAATTTTAACAAAGAGAAGTAGTTTTAATATAAACCTCTTTCTTTTATTATAAGGCAAGCATTTAACAAGACAATACAGAAACATATAAAAGGAAACAAAAGTAACCTATAATAAAGAGACAATCTCTTGAAAAAAATCTTGTTTTATATCATTCTATGCTTTTTCTGTACATATTTATCTTTCTCCTTCTTTAGTTTACAAGGAAAACAAACTTGATTTAAAAGGTAATTTCACTTTTACATTAGAAATATAATTCTAATATAGTACATGATTTTTTTGAAAAGCAACTCTAAAATAACTTCTAGAGCAATCATTAACAATTTGATATACATCCTATTAGAATCTTTTCATTCTATACACATTGTGTTGAATAATTAATTTCTAACCAAATAGGATCATTCAATACAGAGTTATATGAATTACTTCTTGTCCCCAATATTCACTCACCTTCCTGTACTAAAACATTGAGTTTAAAAACTGCACTGTTGAGGGGAATGGGAATATAATGGGTGGAGCGAATTGTTCATTGTGTACACTGTACCCTCATATTATTAATGTATGCTTAAGTCAAAAATATAAATAAATTGCACTTTTCCATTACAGACAAACCATCATTTAACTAATCTGCTATTATTAGTCATCTAAGCACCTTCAAATTTTCATTACAGTATTGCTTGACTATACAATATTTTCCTCAAGAAAATATTTCTTCCTCAAAGAAAGAATCACCAGATTAAAGATTATGTGCTCATTTTCAGAATTTTTTGATACAGGGTGTTGACCCTTTCTCTCACAAAATAGTATTGAACTACAACCAGCTGTCAAAACTGCTCTAGGTGATTAGAATACAACAGTGAACAAAACTGTCCACAAGGAGGTGACATTGTAGGGTTGGAACTAAATCACAAATAAACCTAAACTATCAGTCATCCACCATCTTTGTGTTTCTGTACAGTGTGCCTGAACTGCTTTTCTCTGGATAGCCTCACCTCTTTGGCTCAAATATCACTGTACTAGTTCTAAACATGTCCATAAATTCTTTGACATGACACACAGCAAAAGTAGGAGTCTAATTCCAGTCCCTTTTAATAGAAGCCAGGCTTAGTGACTCTGTATACTATACAAAATGACTTCCAAGGCTGAATTAGAAAAGGCACTACAACTTCTGGCTCACATTCAGGTGCTTGCCCTGCAATACAGCTATCTATCATGCTGCAAGTAAGCCAAACAGTCAAATGGATAGGCCATGTGTAGTTAGTTATGCCAGCCACAGCCCCAATGAGATGCTGACAACCAGTATCAACCACACTCCATCTAAGTGAAGAAGCTTCAGATCATTCCAGTCCCCAATCTTTTAGCTGCCCACAGCTGACACCTAGCAGACCAGAAACAAGTTGCCAAACCTATCTTGCCCAAACCGTACATTTGTGGACAAGTCAGTAGATTTGGGGACAAACTGTTAAACATCTAAAGAAAACCAGGACAGCCCATTTCTTAGTTAGGTCCTTCTCCCATCATCTTATTTAAAGTTACAAATCCTCTTGGTATGCTTATCTCCCTTTTCTGCTTAAGTTCTTCACAATTCTTATAGCTATCTGATAAGTCTGCTAATACTTTACCTCTTTTTATCGTCTACCTCTCCAAAAAACTAGACATATCCTCCCCCACTTAACTAAAAAACAAAATCCAATATATGAAACAATGATCTTCAAATGTTGAGCAGACAAGACAACACAGGACAATGAGTCCTGTGAAAGCAAACACAAGGTGAGCCACATTCCAAGCTACAATACAGAAAGGGAGAATCCAGTACTGAAAAGATGAAGCTGGGAGTTCAAAAGGGGGAAGAGGAGGCAACTCAGCTACAATTCACAAGGCAAATATAGGAGAGAAGAAAGCCGCTCAAATAGCAAGCTCCAGAGACCTGCCAGATAGTATCCTTGAGTATTCATCTGAGTACTCTGGCATTAGCATGTGAAGAAACTACAGGAGGAAAGGGAAAGAATCCCTTGAGATGAGGAGGTTCCCACTAGCAGAGTTAAACAAAATCTCTTAATACAGACAGAAGGCATCAGGTAGGAGCACTTTGTAGTAGGACCAAAAGAGGCCTAATCAAAAAGCTACTCCAAGCCAAACTTACAAAGTTTGAAAGCAAACTGTTTATAAGCAAATTAACTGCATCTAACAACAAAGCTTAAGAATATTTATGGGAATAAAAAAATACTGGGCACCCCTCAAGGCAAAATTTACTGTGTCTAGTAGTATTCACTTGAAAATAAACAAGCATATGAAGAAACAGAAAACCATTGCTTAGAATGAGGAGAAAAATCAATTAATGAAACAGAGAAATGGTACTGGTAATAGAATTAGTAGACAAGCACATAAAAAGTTCATGGAAGATTAAAAAACTAAGTTTTCAGAAAAGTACAATATCTGAGATGAACACAATGGACAGGATGAACAGATTAGTGCTGCTGAAGAAAAGATTAATGAACAAGAAGAGGCATAGCATTAGAAACCATAAAATCAAAACAAAGAGAGAAAAAAGGATGAAAATGGATAGAAAAAGTGAGACAATTTCTACATGTAGTTATAGAAGGAAAATACGAGCGATTACCAAGGTGAAGAAAATGTTCTCCATCTAGACTGCATCACGGTCACTATCTTGGTTTTAACACTGCATGATAGTTCTACAAGATGTTACCACTGGGGATAATTGAGTAATGAGTACATGAGCTAGCTCTGCTTTATTTCTCACAACTGTAGGTGAATCTACAGTTAAATCAAATAAAAAAATTAACTTAAAAACTAATGTCCACCTATTCTAATACTCTTCCAGCTCTCTTTCCTACAGACTGAAAGAGGATTGCCTGTTTAAAACGTTAGGGCTGGGAAGAAAGCAGTGTACTTCTGAGTGTATACAGCCATGTGCTAACCCTCATGCTGATTTGCAGCTCCAATGCATTTTTATAGATTTCAAAGAATCTACTACTTTCCCTTTCTTGAGCCTCAAGTCTTTTCCTTCTGGACTGGGTCTAGTTCCTGGCTTGACAGTAAAATTGTTACTCATTGTTAATCCTGTTTAGAAAGGTTTTTTGTTTTTTATTTTTTTTTAACTCTTAAGAAAAGAGTGAGATACACAAAGAATTGAATAGCTATAAAAATGAACTTACACTGGATGTGGTGGTGCATACCTTTAATCTCAGCACAGGGAGGCAGAAGCAGGAAGAACATAAGTTTGAGGCCAACCTGGTCTCAAGGTACATAAGAGACCTTGTCTCAAAATAAACAAAAGACAAAAATAGATGAAAAATAGAAAAAAATAGATGAAAGACCTAAAACTTTTAGAGGAAAACTGTTTCATGACATTAGATTTGGCAATGATTTCTTGATTATGATACCAAAGCACAGAATACAAAGAAAAATAAACTGAGCTTCATGAAAATTAAAAATTTGCCAGAGAAAAAGGCAACCAATGGAATGGGAGAATATCTGCGAACAATATCTATCTTATAAGATACAAATATCCAGAATATATAAGGTACTATTTATTACTACTATTAGTAACTACCAAGTTTCTATGTACTAAAAATATTTTAAAATTGCCAGGGGCCATTGCCAGTGGCTCATGCCTGTAATTCTAGCTACCTGGGAGGCTGAGACTGGGAGGATTTCAGTTTGAGGCCTGCCCAGGCAAATAGTTTGAGAGACCCCATCTCCAAAATAACCAGAACAAAAAATGGACTGGAAGTCTGACTCAAGCAGTAGAGCACCTGCTTTGCAAGCGTTTACCCCTGAGTTCAAACCCCAGTCCCACCAAAAAGTTTTCAGGAATAGCGATTTCTTATGGAAAAATTATGAAATCTCTTTGTAAAAAATTAACAACAAAAAAGGGTCCTGAATAGTCATATAATGAAAGATGTATCACTCTCTAAACTAGAAGACTCAGTATTATAAAGACATCAACTCTCCCCAGATCAATGTATGTATTCAATGTAGTTCCAATCAAAATTCCAAGAGAGTTTGTGTATGTTTGTGTTGGAAGAGGAAGAGGGTCTAACAGACTGATTCTAAAACTTATATGAATGTAAGAAGCTGTAAGAACAGCCAAGTAACTTCTGAAAAAAATATAGCTAGGGACTTATCTTACCAGATACCAAACAGGCATATATGGAAATTTGATCAGATAAAGGATAAGCTTTTTAGTAAATCATCCCAGGATAAGTAAGTCTAAGCCCCAAACTTGATACACTCCTTATGCCGTGCACTAAGACAAGTCAATTTCATGTGAATCAAAAACCTAAGTAGGACACTCAAAACCAAAATTACTTTTAAAAAGTAACAGAAAACAGTATCTTTAAAATCTTGGGTTAGAAAAGGAAAACTTTAAGCATGTTACAAGCACAAAAAAAGAATGATTAATGTCAATTAAAATTGAAGACTTCCAGATTTTAAAAAACTGAGAGAATAAAAAGATAAACCACATTCGGGTGCCTGTGGCTCATGCCTGTAATCCTATCTACTCAGGAATCTGAGATTAAGAGGTTCACAGTTTGAAGCCAGTACTGGGCAAATAGTTCCCAAGACTCTATTTCGAAAATACCCAATAAAAAAAAGGGCTGGCGGAGTGGTTCAAGTGGTAAGAGCATCTGCCTAGCAAACGTAAGGTCTTGAGTTCAAACCCCAGTACTGTCAAAAAAAAAAAAAAAAGCTACAAATTGGAAGAGGATATTTATAACAAATAAAACTGACAGTACTG